TAGCAGTGCTAGGTTAATGGTTGGATTCGATGATCTTACGGGTCATTACGATGATCTTAAGGGTCTTTTCCAACCTTAGCGATTCTATGATTCTATTTTACCATGATGACCACAGAAGATAGCTGAAAATAGACTATGTGTGCATCCAAATATGAAAAATCTTTAGTTTTACAAAATTAAAATGATTTTTCTGTCTGCTATTTTACTCTAGAGCAAAATTGCAGCCAAGATTTTAAGGGTAGAAGTAGCTGGATAGGAGAAAAGAAGTAATATCCCATTTACATAGTATCTTGCTAAAGATATACTGATTGGTAATGAGGAACTACACATTTTCTAAAAATTTTTGGGTGGATGCTGTGTTATTCTAATAGTGTAGTCTGGCTTGCATGGGGGGGTTAAATTTTCTTTCTTTCCTTTAGACAATTATTAAGAGATCACGCACCATGCTAAACTTTCCACATCCATTGGTGAGTGAAGGAAGGGATTTGTAAAGATCTGGTAATTAAGATAAAATATTTTCATACCTTATCCATTCATTGTCACCAAGTCTACACCCCCACCCCTCAGTTCTTTTTATTTTGATTCAATCTGATGCAGTGCACTGGATTTATTTGGGGACTGATGACCTGATGATGATAACCTATTATTCAATAATGATGATGATAGGAGCTCCCTAACTGTTGCTTCTAATGAGGAAAAATATTTTTTCTTATGTATTTATGCTTTCTGAAAGTTAGGGATTTTTTGTTTGCTGTTAATGAAAATTCTACTCTATTTTTATCTAGTACAAGCAAAATATTAAGTGATCCACGTATTTAGTGTGGTAACAGGATGTGTTGGCAGCAGCTATGTTTGCATGAGTCCTCACAACTTTGCTAAGGCTGAATGGAAAGGTTTTGAAATTACTTGAGTCTCGTTACTCAGTGTATTTACACGACAGTTAGAGGTGAGACCTAAGTGTCTTGTCTTGTATCTAAGGCAGCTTTGCACTGGCAAGCTGCTAGTAGCACAGCTGCAGTACCAAAGAGCTGCTTTGAGTATTTAGCTGGGCTCCATGTGGGTTTTGGACTTGCCATTCCACTGGTGACTGGTAAGCTTTAGGAGATTTCAGTTCTTCCTAGCCAACCCCCTTTTTCTGCTGGAGATTCTCATCTCCTGAATTTTTCCAAATGTTAGATGAGCCATTTTCTATATTTATGGTAGCTGGAGGGATAGAAACCAATACTAAGGAATGAGGCAGAGATGGGCTGTGAATATTTTAGCGATAATTCAAATGATACTGTCTGTTTAACAGTGATGATCAGTAAAAGTTAGCACTGAACAGCCCTTCGTAATATGTACAAAATATTAATAGCTTGTTTACCAATAAAAAGTTAAGCTTCTGTAGTAGTTGATTTTTGTGCTGCTGACATATTCTATATCCATTGTAGGCACGTTCAGCTTTCCCTTACGCTTGCTTGCTTATTTATTTATTTTATTGCAAGCTGTCTGTATAAAGCAAGGGATTACAAAGAGACTTTCTGAAGTACCACTTTAGTATTTCTGTTGTCAGTTAAGGCCGATGATGCTTGTGACAATGAATTGTTTGGTTTAAAAGCCTACCAGTGTTAGAGCTGAATTTCTGAAACAGGAGTATCAAACAAATTTAACTCACTATAAATGAAGCGTTAACTCCTGTGTATCATAAAGTTTGGATTTAGTAGCTGGTGGTGTGACTTTTCCCAAACTAAGCTGTTTTTTAAAGAAAAAAGATAAGCTGGAGAGGGAGGCCAACGAAATCACCTTTGTTATGATGTATTTGGTCTCCTGGAGTTTTGTGGCGGGTTCAATTATAGTGAGTTTATAAAAAGATTTCCTGGTTGCTTGTTTTGGGGGAAAAATAGTAATAAAGTGCTTTGGGATTGAAAAGCTGTATTCATAAATGCATATACATTTGTAAAGTTTGCACAGCATGATAATTATCTGCAATTCTACGGTATGACCAGTTTAAGCAATCTTGTACTGTATCTAGGTATACCTTTGTAGGTTTAGCACCTGTAGAAAGCTTACCTTTTGATGGATTTTGCCTGGTGTCTTATCAAAGGGGAAAATATTGTGTGTCAAACAGACTTTTTAACAATGTAGTCAGCAGTGGTGACTGGATTTCAGAAGCCTGTTGTGCTAATTTTTTTTTCATTTGCCGTTGAGCTTGTTTGAACCTGCTCTGTGATGTATAAAGATCAGCAGCCCAGCATTGGTTACAACCTGCTTTTTCTGCTGGTGCTGTAGTAGGGGAAATACCTTCAGTTAAGCAGAACAGGCCTGATTTCAGAGCAGGAAAGGGATCTAGAAGAGAAGGGAAGGAGTGATAAAAGTAATGGAAAGCTGTAGTAGTAGTGGAGTTGTACATTCTGGCTTATTTCTTACAAATGGTGATTTCCCACACCTCTTGATGTCCAAAAAGAATTAGAAAGGTGTAGGGGTAACTTGTTTTTATTGGAGAAGTGCTTTACAGTAGTGTTTCACAACACTTCCCATCCCTTTGTCAGCTCAAGAGCATTGTCTGGATGAAGGGGAAGGTAAATACTTCAGTGAATAGTGATTGAAGGGAAGACATCTTCAGAGAATAGTAATCAAAAGATAAGACTTGGAAGGTCAGAAAAACTAGTGGTAGCATTAAGAGTAAATAAAAACGTCTGGAAATGCGAAGGACAAGTGATCAGGAAGCCAGTGTAGTGAGTTGAAGTAGATCACACAAAGGGTTTCCCCCTACCATGCAGTGGATGTAGTTTACACAGTGGGTTGAATTCATAGGAGATGATCTTTCTTTAAGGGTGACAATAAATTGAGATAAATGTCTTTAGAGGAAAATGTCACTTTCTAGTAGTGTTGAAGATTATTTTACTGCTATTAATACAGACTTTCAAGTTGAATATGTTACTCGGGCCACATTTGTGGACAACTAACAGGAAATTTGCAAAAACAAAATTATGAAATTGATCATCTGTTTTCATATTAAATATTGCCATGCTTTGTCAAAGAAGTTTACTTTGATTGTATTTTATGCTGGTAAATAGTTCTAGAGAAAATCTAAAATTATTTTCTAACTTTGTTTTAGCTAACCTCCAATCAGTTAGTTTTTTCTCTTATTACTTTGTCTTAATGATATAAGCATCTCAACAATAGTGCTTTACCAGGCAAGTGCTTTTATTATAGTAAATGGAATTAATGAGTAAAACTATCCTTATCTGTTTGCAATACTGGCATTTGAGACCTCAGATTTGCAAGCTGAGCTGTACAAGCAGGCTTATGTAAACTTTCCAAAGGTTTTAAAATGTGTGTCTAATTATAGAAGGTTACGTATATGGAATTTTTTTTTTTTTTTCCCCCCTAAGGCCATGTGGTTATGATATTATTGAGATTCCATAATGCCTCCTGCCGTGACCGACAGCCTTGACATCTGGGCAGTGGATTCACAGATTGGTGCTGATGGCTCAATATCTGTGGACTTCCTGTTGCCCACTGGAATCTACATCAACCTGGATGTCCCTCGAGATGCCACCATATCTCATATTAAACAGGTAATACCAAATGGTCAATTAACTGAAAAGTTAACTTACATTTGGAATGAGTGCTGTTTCTGATTTTTATGTGCCTTTTGGCAATTCAAGTAATGAATTTGAATAGGCATAAAAAATAATGTATTGAAGGTGTGTGCGTAGCAGATTGATTAATAAAGATGTATATGTGGGGGGGTTGCAATGTTTTTGGGCAGATGGCAAGGTTGGGAGAAATTCTTGTTGATGGTTACGCTTCAGTGGAGATTATTCTAATAGCTCTATATTAATACTGTGTTGCTACATCTAAACCTTTTTAACACATTGGTAATACATTGTACGTTTATTTAACATTTCTGTGATTAGTGTGGAAACAGGAGACGCTGTGTCTAATTTGATTTTTAATATAGAAGTCGCAGATTGTGCTCCTGCTTCTTTTGATTGACACTGAAGATGGATGCTTTAAAAACTATGTATGTCACTCCTTAAAGGTTGTATACAAGTGCCTTGTTAGGGCATCACGTAAAGTGAGGGAATACTCAAATCAAAGGAAGGGGAGCATGTAAGGAAATTAAACACAGATATTAAAGAATAATTATAGACCTTTCATCAGATAATGGCCATGTGAGGGCATTTAGACAAGTTACTTTGGAATTAGGTAGTGGGTGAATTACAACACCAAGTAATCTGCTCCTTAAGCACAATGAACTTCTAAATGAAAACAAAGAAGTGTGATTTCTCATTCTGTTGCATTGCCTGGTAAATAAATATATTGTTTTTCAATCCTATTCAGTCTGACAGTATTCACTTGTTTATAGAAATTATTTTCTTCATATCAGTAGTAGCTTCATATAATTTATTGTACTTCTAATTTGAAACTTTCTAGACACTGAAGTATTTTTTTATGCAGTGGACCACTTAATATTTTAGAACAAATGAGAGTGCCACTAGAAATCGAAGTGATCCAAGAAATAAGCTTTGTACTATAGTCAAATACCTGAAATAATTCAGACTGAAAAAATGTCATTGTTGTTTTAGTAAAAGGGTAACATGGGCAACTTCAGGTTAGTTGGTGGGTAAGATAATGGAATAGCTGATAGTGGTTTCAACAGATAAAGAATTTAAAAAACAAGTGTGTAAGTGACAACAATAAGGGACTTGAACTAAGCTGTCTCATTTTCTTGATGGTTGTGACACATTGAAACTTAACATGCGATAAACAGTTTCTGTTGATACTTTGCTGTTTTTCAAAGAAAAGGAATGTTGATCATACTTACATTGCGGAGGTTTTTAATGGAAATCACTGTATTTGAAAACAAAACAAAAATGAAGACTTTGGCATACTGGATTAGTAGCTTTGCTCCCACCATGGTGCTGTCATAAGCCCTAATTCGTCGACCCTTGGATGTAGAAATAGAGGCCTTGAGAGCAAATATAAGCAGTTTATCTTGTATGTGAAACTGTTGAGATTAAAATAAGAGAATAGATGAAAAATAACCAATTACTTCAGGGCTGAAGAATTTTTCATTTCTGTAGACTTTATAATTCTGCTAGGCCAGTACTCTGGGTGATGACGAATGGCTGCTTTCAGTGGAAGTCAGTTTCAGGGACTTCATGGCTTTTTAAATTTTACAATCGTTAAGGGATATAATAAGTGCCAGTAGCTGGAAATCGAAGTCAGACAACTCGGGGGCAGGGGGGGGAAGGTACAGATTTTTTTATCAATATAATTAGCTATCGGATAAGAACACAGAAGCAATAATAGATTTAGTCTTTTGATACCTTTGAAGTTGTAATTTTTGCGCTATACCAAAGGTAGTTGCTGGATTCAGCTCTCGCTCAGCCAGGCAGAATACGCTGGAATACATTTTTGGAAGGCAGAATTCGTTGTACAAATCTATGAAATATAAGCAGGTATGTTCAGTTTGGCAAAAGGAGTTCAGTTCAGCTTCAATTGTTTGAGAAGACATTTTTTCCATTGCAGTATTGATTGTGTAGTTCCTGTTTCAAAATAAGTTTCAGAAACAAATTCATAAAATGTAAACTTTCAAAATTAGGACAAAAATGTTCTCACAGATAAAGATTTGAATAGTATTTAGGTTGGGAGAGCTCTTTTGAGTTCCAGTTTTGATTTCTGCTAAGGATTTGATATATTTTAGGTACGTTGGTGTTACTTAAGGTGTAATTTACTACTAAAGTATTCAGTTCAGTAAAGCATTGTTTAATGTTCTGTGGGCGACTTGCACGTCTTAGTGGCCTGCCAGTATTTTACAGATAAATTTACTTTAAGCTTCTCCAGACAACAGGGAATTTTTTGTTCAGTAATTAGTTCCATAGTGGGAACTTGTTGTCTATATATTAGAATTATTACTGGAAAAGGAAGGTATAGATGTGTCTTTTGAGAGAAGGATTTCAATAAGAAGCTATAGGAATCGATGGAGGAGAGTGACAGTTTGCTGGTCAGGGTCAAGAACATCTGCCTCCAAAATCAGTAAGTGCTTTGTTACTGTAGTGACAGCCGCGGTCCTGCAACTTCACTGCAGAGAGGACTATATTGAGTCAATCCCAGGATAAGCATCAGGATGAGGGTTAGTGCTTCCCTTCTCTCATCACCTCATAGTACTTGTCTCTGTGGTTTTTACCCCTGGGATATTTATGCATGCAAGTTGCTGCTTAAAAATAACCTCAAGAGACTACAAAAAAGACAAAGTAAATATATAATGATATATAGGGATAAAAACGAACCAAGTTAGCAAACATGTTACTCTTATGCTCTTTTGGGAACATAAATGGAAATCGGTGTTACCTTCAGTGCTGTGAGATATGTCCATGCTTTCTTGTTTTGTTTTATTTGTTTATTTATTTATTTTCTTTGCAGCTGTTATGGAAGCAGGCACATGCCTATCCACTCTTTCATCTCCTCATGGAGATTGACTCTTACATGTTCTCATGTGTGAATCAGACTGCTGTACATGAAGAATTAGAGGATGAAACACGGAGACTTTGTGATGTTAGACCCTTTCTTCCTGTCCTTAAACTAGTGACAAGGAATTGTGATCCAGGAGAAAAGTTGGATTCCAAAATAGGTGTCCTTATAGGCAAAGGTAATTACATATAATTTTTTAGAAAAATGGGGGTAAACTTTGTTTTGTATGACGGTCTTAATTGGGCAGGTAACAGTGGAAAATTTAAAAAAAAAAAAAAAACAAAACACAACAAACGAAAAACAACAAAAAACAACAAACAAACAAAACCAAACCACTAAAATTTAAGTATTTCCTTGACAGAATTTCCCTTTCTCTAACTAATACTGATGTAACTTAAAAGAATTTAAATACTCAAGATGAAACATTTGAAATTTGTTGAAAGCTACTTTCTGTATTGTATTTCAGCACTGTATTGTATTATTACATCAATCGAGCAAATTTTATCTTACTAGATGAGGGAAAAATCTGTAATAATATTACTAAGTGAAGGAAAGCATAGTCCCAGAAAAGCGTTATCATAAATAGCCTAACAGCAAACTGGATACGCAAAAGAAATTAGAAATTATTATGGTTTTGTTATGCACGGTTTCTGAGTTGGTTAACAATATGATTCTTGTGTTTGCTCTGAATTGTGGCACTGATTTTCAGCAAACAATGAAAAGCTATTTTTAAAGGTTTCACAGTTACTTGTTCTTGATGTTATTTCAGAATTTTCAGCTTTTACATCTACTCTGCTTGGTTATACAATCAAGATTGACAGGGTCGTGTGAGGTCATACCTCTTGTTTTAAAACAATAAGCCATTGTTAGCTCTTTTATAAAGACTGCAGGTTTTGTTTAGATTTCAGCAGTACACTGTCTGCCTATTTGTTAAAACTGACAATGGAAACAGTTAGCCAGTTTAACCATTCAGACATATTCTGACAGATTCTGAGAGATTCACATTCTTTGATTGAATATTTTGCTTATTATAGCTGTGCAAGATCCTTCCTTATGCAGCTCCTATTCTGTACCTTAGCAGTGGAAAAAATGTGTTCCTGTCTCAGCTTCTAAACTTAGTGTTTTGTCCTCAGAAGATGTTCAGTGCTTTGTGTAATTTGGACAATGTCCTTCAAAGTTCAGGAGAAAAAGAAAGAAAGAAAGAAACACTTGCAGGCCCTATACTTCCTGAAGTACCAAAGAATCACAGCTGTGTGGACTCTCCACTGTGTATTCTCTCTTCACATATTTTAGAAAAGGAACTTTACTGGTCTTGGATTGGTTGAAATTTCAGTCCTATCGTTTTGACTTGGATAGAAAGTTTTAATCGCAAGGAAAGTTCAAGCATTAATATATCTCTTTACGGCCTCGCTATCCTCCTTTTTTGACTTTTAAACAAAATAAAAAAGATTATGTCATCTTTCTGTGGGATTAAAAAAAAAATAGTTTGCAAACGCTTCTTCCTCTTTATGGTCTTTATGATGCATTTGCTGTGCGCTCTTTGCATTTGCTCATGTGAGGAGAGACTTCAAACTTTCCAAACTATCTTGAACTGAGGATGAGGTTGGCTTTTCCATTTAATAGTACCTAAGAGAGGCATTGGTTCTTGCTGTTTAAACTAAACTCTCATGCCGGGTTGCATGGGAATTGTACAAGTAACTTTGGAAGTCTACTGATGTACAGGAATGTAGAACCCAGCTCACTTTTGAGCACCCATTTCGGATGGGATGTCTGAAGAAAACCACTTATGTAACCTTAACTTAGAGATAATAAAGGTTTGAGTGGGCTAGTAAATAGATAGGCAGTATTAGTACAGGTATGTATCCTTTTGCTTGCTTGAATTCTTTCAGGTCTCCATGAGTTCGATGCCTTACAAGATCCTGAAGTGAATGATTTCCGAGCTAAGATGCGGAGAATCAGTGAGGAAAAGATTCAGTCGCTTGTGGGTCTCTCCTGGATGGACTGGTTAAAGCACACTTACCCACCAGAACAGGAACCTGTTATCCCAGAGAGCTTCCAAGATAAGCTCTATAGTGGAAATCTTGTAGTGGCTGTTCATTTTGATAACTGCCAGGTAGGAACAGTTGTTCATCACATTTCACGTACTGTTCTTGATCCTGATCTGAACTAGCGTGTGATTGATCAAGGATGTAAATGAAATAGAATACTAACATTATACTGTTTGCTTTAACATGCAAATTCTTTCACCAGAATCCTTGACTCTTGAAAGAAAGTGAGGACATGAACCTGTGGTTGTGAACTGAACTTCTGAAGTCAAATTGCAGTTCTGTTTCTAAAGTCAAAATGTACAACTTGTATATTCTGTATTATTTCATGTTTGTTTAAATATAAAACATAATTCAAAGTTGTCAGGACTTTTTTTGGCCAGCTGTTACTGTGTTGCTTCACTAACATTCAATTTTAGGCTCAGGAGATGCTGGTGAATTGGGAGGCATCATATTCAACACATTTGTGTTTGTGTGTGATTCATTGTTGAACAGCTTTGGGGTTGATCTGCTAATTAGGTTGAGCAATACATTTTAAAAAAAGAGAAATTAGTATTCCCTATGCTAGACATATATATAGACAAATAAAACACTAGCTGAGACTTGAGTTACCTTTTTGTTTCAGCTAACAAATCCATAGCTTATTTTTAAAATAAAAACCCCTTTAGTTTCCATCTAAAATGATTCAGCTTCATTTTTTTGATGTTGAAGTTGCTATGATTCTACTTGAGTTCAGCATTCCCATTATTCATTTTTGCACTGTATTCTTTTTGATAAGTGAGGGATCAGCATGGGAAATCTTTAAATCTCACAAGTGTGTAAATATATCAGGCTATATTTGGTGTCCATTCTGACCTAGGTGCGAGATACTGATTTTCTAATGATTTAGCTGATTTTATTTAAAGCTATATTATTTCTCGTACTATCTTTTTTAACTTAAAAAATAAAAAATCCGAAGTGGCAAAATCATATTTGGCTTTGGAAACACTAAATGCAGAGGTGAATACTAAATTTGGTCACCAGTAACGCTAGCTGATGTTGGATGCATAGGTGTTTTTATGACAAAACCTTTTTCCAGTCCTCTTTGGCTTAGTAAAAGACTTGTAGTTGTCCAGGAGTGAGAATATCTGTGTGTTTGTCAGCTTTTGATTAAGATATTGTGTATATACATGCATGTGATAATGGTACCAAGGCAGTGCAAAAGTTCATGCTGCTACAGAATGTATTTGCCTGCCACTGTAATAGCTTAGGCTGCTGACATTTCAAATGTTTTGAATGCTTCTGCTGCCAGTTCTGACCTTCAAAGCTATTAACAGTTCAAATCTGAGCTGCTTTTTAGAGCAGTAAACTCTGTTCCAGACTTTACTACTTGCACTGAGTACTAAAAATCATCTCAGGAGAATTAAATAGGAAGGTATGGGGAATGCTGTGTTCTTTCAGTAGGAGCACTGCAAGACTGAGAGGAAGCAATATTAAACTACTTTTTGTCTAGAATGCATGGGTGAGCTGTAAAAGCTTCCTGATTGTCTCTGGAGCAAGAGAAAGAGACTGATCCCCATTTCTGTGACATACGTGTAGAGACCTACAATTTGGAAGTAAGGCAGCCATCATAGAGCACCAGCTTCCTGGGAGGAAAAAGTGTCCTTTCCTGTCTACCCACTATCAGTTATGACAGGAGAAGGAAGCCTTCATGCTTTGACAGCTTTCTGAAAGGGGGAAGCTGTTATGAGCCATGCAGAAATTGAGAAAATACAGAATTAATTTTGCCTGACTTTACAGAGTTAGATTTTTCCTTTACTGCAGCTTGGCTTCTTACCAGTAAACTTCTGTATAAATAAAGAACAAGTCGAAAGAATGTAAGCCAGACAACACTTCACATTTGTAAATAACTGCTTTTAGAATGTGTACATCTTCAGGAGTGTGTGTGTGTCTATGTAAATAAAAAAATCAAAACAAAAACACGGAACTTGCTGAATCAACCTTTGCAAATCAACGTGTGCAGAGCATAATGTGGTAGATTAGGGCAGATGAAAGTTTTCACAGACAACCTTTTACATTAGGAACTGTAAATGAATTTGACCTTTTTTTTTTTTTTTTTTTTTTTTAATTTAAAGAAGAAAGTAACATCTTACCTGTACCTTTTGGAATGCATAAAAATTAGAGATACTTTGGAAATATGTAGATAGCCTCTAAAGGTTTGATTAAAAATTTTCTTTGAAAATGCAGAGTCTTTCCGTGTTGTATTCAGAATGCTACAGGTATTGGCTGCTACCCCTCTTTTCTGCACTCCTCCAAATAAGATGGTGGTTTTGTACTTAAGTCACACTAACAGTTTCTTCTGCTTTATTACTTGAAGCTTTCTTTTTCTTTTGAGTACAGTGGTACCTAGGAAGAGGTTGACTTGCTGATGGCCAGAAAGAAGAAAAATTAACACATCTAGTACTGCTAAATACCTTGAGATGTATACATGATTTATTGTCTCCCTCATTCACATTCTAAACCAGAAGCTTCTAGATTGATATCCTGATCCAGAAGTCTTTAAATCACTACTGAATCAATTAAAGTTCTGTGTTCTTAAAAGTATTTCTGATACTATAAAAGTTTGGGAATTGACGATTTTGCAGCTTTTAGGGTGACTGTTGCTCTGATTGCACTGAAGATGTAGAGATTAACTCTAAGTGTTAAAATAGACTGTTTTTTCCAACTATTTTATTGTGTATGCTATGATTTAAGCCTTGTATGTCTGACTATGACAAGTTTTACATTCGGTATTCCTGTTTGTGTTTTGTTAGGATGTATTTAGTTTTCAGGTGTCTCCTAACATGAATCCCATCAAGCTGAATGAGCTGGCAATCCGAAAACGTTTGACTATCCATGGAAAAGAAGATGAGGAAGTTGATCCTGCTGACTACGTGCTGCAAGTTAGTGGAAGGCTAGAATATGTTTTTGGTGATCACCCATTAATTCAGTTTCAGGTACATAAAGCTCTTTGGAACTTACTGTAACAGTTCTCTAGTGCCTTGGCCTAAATTTGACCTTGCTTCCTGTGTCATTGGATGGTCAGCTGTGCTGAACAGTAATACAATTCCTCCTCGTGTCTGCTGCCCTCTTCAGTTGTAAAATACATGTGCACAATTTCCATTGTATCTTTGTAATATATTATTGTTTCTTTGATTTGAAAGTTGCCGTAGAAATAGTCTGCTAGCTGGTAACAACTGTTTTCCATGGGCTTTTAGTATATACGCAACTGTGTGATGAACAGGACTCTTCCTCAGCTGACTCTAGTTGAGTGTTGCACCATAAAGAAGATGTGTGAGCAGGAGATGATTGCCATAGAAGCTGCCATAAACCGAAAATCATCCAACCTTCCTCTTCCTCTGCCACCAAAAAAAACAAGAACAACAACCGTAAGTTGATACGGGGAATATCTAATATCCAAAAGGAACAGTGAGTTGTGGAATATAAATCACAATGCCTGGGATTTGTGCTACTACTACTGTTTTCCAGTGTAGGTCACCTGGGTTTACTCGGAGTCTCCTGTTGCTTGTGAGAAGGTTTACATCAGAAATAGCAGCCTTCAAGGCTTTTTGGAAATTTCTTACCTTCCCTTGCTTCATCCCTCCTCCTTCTTCCCCCCCCATCTCCTTTCCATTGCTATTGATTCTGTTTTTATTCACAACCTGGAAAAGCAGGTAATAATCTGTTACCAGCAACTGGATAAGTTATTGCAGAGAACCTGGATTCTTCAGCTTCAACACAATGTCTAGGCTCCACTAGCTTGGGCAGTAGGGGTCTGTGATCACTTGTATTAGCCCAGGTATCTTGCATGGTGTTGCCACTTCAATGATGGCAACTTTTGCCATAATATACAACTGACTTTTCTTTTAATATGGTGCTTCCTTTATTGCTAAGCTTCTGGCCTTATAGCACAGTTATAATTTATGTACTGTCATTCTAAGAAATGTGGACAGAGTTTGCTCTGTTATGCCCTCTGTATATATTGAGAATGAACAATAAATTTGAAGGGTTATTCTGAATTGTCAGCAAGTAGTACTCAATGTATTTTTCTCACTCCCACCCCACTTTCAGCTGAATGTTTGTTTTTTCTAACTTTTTTCCCTTTAGGGCATCTTGTATGCTCTTGTAGTTATGATAACAAATTTATTTTTTAAGATTTCAAATTTATATTTTTAAAAAAGCATCTTTTTTAGTTTCTATTTATGACTTCTGCTTAAAATGCTTAGGCTGTAAAATAGGTCTCAATGTTACATTGATTAAGAATGAATTTGTATCTTTGTTTCCCTTCTCAGAGTGTATGGGATATTTCCAACCCTTTCAAGATTATTCTGTTAAAGGGTAATAAACTAAATACAGAAGAAAATGCCAAAGTAAGTAACTATGCCTAGTATCAGAAGACATTCTGTTCATCATTTGAATGATTTTCAATGTTTAGTGAACTCAAAATCATACAGATTTCAATTCAGCAAAAGCGTAAGCATTTTTAGTTATATTGGTAGTATTGGTTAAAAATCTTGCCTTATTGCTAAAGTATTGCTGTACTGTCTGAAGTTGGATATGTGCATTAGAACATTATCAATAATCATGGAGAGTATGACGCGAGTGTTTATATGGTACTTGGTTTAAGATGGTATTGTGAAGTACTGATATTGGTGTGAAATAAGCTTATTCAAACTAAACTGTTGTAAACACCTGACAAATGGAAGCAGATTAAATATTAAACATTTTTCAGTGGAACATAAGGTATTTTTGTAGTCCAGAATATATTCTATGTGAGTCTAAGCATGGAGTGCATGCTTTTATACAATCTGTTTTTTATTTTCTAAACATGCTGAACACAAAAAAAGCTGTAGTATCACTTCCTATAAAAATGTACATGACTGAGCTACTGACTGCTTTACAGACCACTAGTTGTTAACACATGGGAATTTATTGCACAACTACTTTAAGACCTCACAAGACACTTGCCTGTGAGGTAGAACAACATGCATTTCCTTTATTTTGTTTGGCAATCAATAAATTACAGAGCCAGTCATGTAGATGAGGAAGAAATTCAATTAGCCATTGAAGTTTGCTCTTCTGATGCTTTATTCGGGATACTCTGCATTTTTTTTTCTTTCAAAAGTGTTGTTACAACCTCCTTGTATATTAGCAATACTAGATTTTACTACATAGCTAAATGCGCCATTGTTATGATTTTACTACCTGAGACACTCTGACTGTGGAAATGGATGTCTGCAAAAACAGATGTTTCCATTTTCTTTGTCTAAACCGTTATTTAGGTAGTTGTAATATCTTTTTAACTCCACATTCTGTAGCCTCTCAAAGTTTTTAAAAGAAAAGGGAAGGGAAAAGAGAAAGTGGATTTCAGAAGCAACATAACTATCAAGCTATGATAGCTATCAAGCTAGTTGGTTGTCGTGTCGTGTGTTGTGTCGTGTGTGTCGTCCCCCGTCCCCCCCGGTGAGTTTTGGTTAATTTCAGTATTCTTTTAGAGGAAAAAGAAAATAAGTTGGTTGTAAGCTTTAGGAAAAATTGACAATTCTTTGGTATTGGTGCCTGTGGATATTATCTAAGTATTATTTAGTATTTTGAATGCTTTTTAATCTTGAAAACTTTAAAGTCCTGTAGTTGCTCAAGAAGAATGCATGTAGTAACGTTGCAGGCTTGTGCGTGTTTCCCTGCATTGTCTGCCTACGCTAGTATGGAATTGCCACTATTGAGAATGTATTTGTTTCCTAGTCCTTATTCTAAGGCTGTTTAATTCACTGCCATTGTTCTTTTAGTTTCATTGTGCTTTGGATCAAGCCGATATTCATCCATTTTTGCTGAAACCACCAACAGGGTTCATAAATGCAGTGTTTGTAGTGGGAAACAAAACATTTGTCAGATGGATAGCAGTCTGCTAATGTGAGCTGGATTGAGTATTTCCACCTAGAGCACAAGTGACTTCATTCAGCTGTCTAACACCCAATTTTCCAAATACGTGACATTTGAAATTGCTTTTCTTTTTGTCTTGCTCTTTGGCTGCACCATCGGTACATACTGTTTCATTAGTAAAAGGGGAGTATCAGAATGAAAAGAATAAAATTAGGATCCAGTCGCTTACATTAACAGGATTGGAAATCATAGGATTAGAACTAGCCAAAAGGCAGGCAAAATAGCAATGTGTTCCAACAATACAGTGCTTTGTTACTATCAAATTTTACTTGATCACTTATGCTTTTTATATTAATACAGTAAAAGAAAGGTCAGGGAAGTGTGGTGGCATATCGTTACAATATCAGATGATAGCAAGTCAAAGAACAATATTCAAAATTATGCAAATGTGAATTTGAACCCCTGGTTTAAAAAAAAAAGGCAGATTGTAGAATATTTACTGTTGCTGGTGTTAAAGCACAAGCAGATAATGCGCTAGATATAATCACATTTTTATAAGATATCTTTAGCTCAGCAAAGGAACTTGATTATAAATTCAGTTGAACATATAATGAATCTCCAAATGTATTAATAAAGGACCATCTGGTGAATTGTTTCAAAAAGGTTATGAACCAACTGATTTTAATCAGTTCTCTGACATCAGCCAAAGTACTTCCTTTTTGAAGAATATAAAGCTGCAATCTTTAATTACAGAGAAATAAAAAACCCCTGTAAATGTAATCACCCATAATTTTGATTGTATATATTGTTACCTATAGGTATGTACACACACGTGGTCTGTATACATTGAGATTTCCTGAAGTAAGATTACTTTCATGTGATCTGTTTCATGGATGTTCATGTTACTGTTCTTAACTCTCAGTGGTGAAAATAGATAATAGTGGTTTTTACGAGGATCGCTGGCATTCAAGTGATTGTAGTTTTCTAAACTGAACTTTTTCTTTCAGTGGTTGATTGTAAGCTTGGAAGTGAAATTGGGGTTGTATAAATATAAGTCAACGAGTCAGTTTAATAATGTATGTTCTTATGGTACCTGTATCAAGGAGGAGTGTAACCCATAACAGTGTGTTCTCCAAGACCTAATACCTCTGCCAATGCCTATGCTGTGACAGCAGTCTCTTGATCAGTGGTAGCAATTGTTTTAGAGAAGTTGAGTGATCAGAAGGGGTGTTGTTTGGAGACCATCTGTTGGTGCTATTAATGCCTTCTCCAGGGATTCTTCTGGGCTGAAGACAGGTCTGCTCTCTAGCATGACTTCATTTAAACTGTATTACAGTTTGCCAATGACTAGTTCATCTGAGCTAGTTTATGTATGGAGAACTTGGTGCTGAGCGGTAGTTGTTGTAGCCAAAAAAGATATATTGAGATTGGGACTGCTTTGATGTTGATCACGCTGTTGTTTTGTTGTTTCTTTGAAGGAGAGAAAGATAGGCTCTCTCCCAGAACAGATGTCTATGTTAGTTGGGAATTCAAAGATGAATTATTTTTATCCAAAACCTGTACCAAATTTTAAACCTCTCTGCCTTTCCCTTACAGTGCTCAGAAATAATATGATAGCTTAAAGGGAATATTGGGAAGGTTGTTTGAGGAGCATAGGGAACCTGAAACATCAATTCACCTTTTACTCATTTAACCGTAACATTGAGAACTTCTTTTTGGTGTTGACCAAAGGATTACATTTGTGGTGTCTGTCTCCCGCCCTGGTATTTTGGAAGATTACCTGGAAGAACATGTTTCTCTCTTTGTTGTCTGCTCAGGCAACAAAAATAAAGACCTCCTTGTCATTCTTGTTGAAACTGTCCAAGAGCATGGATACTTGGAAACATGCAGTTTTCTGTGTACATACGTTATTAAACAGAAATGAGCCACATCTTAGGACTGACCTGTAATGTGTTTAATTTCAGTGCCAATAACTGCAGCTTCTTTCTCTTCTTGCCCTTCTCCTTTCCTGTTCCTTATTTTTATCATTCAAGCTGGCTGGTTTTGTTGGTTTCTGGGTACTGAAGACAAAACAGAATTTTTGGGAATTACGTAGATTGTTATTAGTATTACAGGTAATTTCTGATGTCAGGTCAGCAGTGTTCCCTCTGTACATTTTTATAAACAGTTTAAGTAAAAAATGAATTTTTTTTTTTCTTAAGCTGAAAAACCCCAAAACTTTTCTCCATTAGAAACACGAATTGGTTCTACCTGGTGATTTGAACTTGTATTCAGAAAAATAGTCTTACCTTTTTCATTCTGCTGACTTGTTTCCTATGATTTTCTTCCATTTTAAGTATGTTCAGTTAGAAGCATTTGTATATCCATATATTGTATTTGTAACTACAAATGAGTTGTTATTATTATTGGTCATATGTGGTAAAGTAAGTAATTCAGTACTGAAAAAATTGGTAGCCAACATTATTTAAACAAATATATTTTGATTTGGGCAGGAACATGAATAGCAAAATAAAAAGAATTTATAATCAAGAATTGTTTGGTTCATTTTAAAACCTCAAAATTAGTATTTCTTTTAAGATATAAATATTGATTAAATGCATATATATTTGTTCTGTATAATATTCTATGCAGAATTCTGTAGGTTCTGTGGCAAGCTTAAAATTTCTCATTTCTTTATTGCAGGTTCATGTTAGAGCCGGTCTTTTCCATGGTACAGAGCTCCTTTGTAAAACTATTGTAAGCACAGAAATATCTGGGAGAAGTGACCATGTTTGGAACGAAGTACTAGAGTTTGAAATAAATGTCTGTGACTTACCAAGAATGGCAAGGCTCTGCTTTGCAGTTTATGCTGTGATGGATAAGATGAAAACTAAAAAGTCAACCAAGGCAATGAATCCTTCCAAATACCAAACCATTAGGAAAGCAGGAAAAGTGGTAATTATTTCATTTGTTTTTCTTGACTGTACCTCTGAATTACATCGAAATGAGTATTCAGAAATCTTTCATTGTCCTCACTTTAGTGTTCAAGAATGCAAAATGACAAAAAAAAATAAAAAGAGCACATGTATTAAGAATTGCACATCTTGCTACAAAAAAAAAAAACCCCAACTTTTCAGACTTCTCAGACACTGAAAAAGGCATGAAAATTTTGGTTGTAAGCCAGTTGGCAAATGACTGTTTAAAGAATTGTATTTTAAAAGGTCAGTTTTGTTCTGAGCTCTAGATGAGTTGTGATTGGGAAAAGATGAAAAAAGCACCATCTAGGCTCACATTCAGGGAAATGTGTATTTTTACACTGGCAGCATGACACCCTTAAAATTAAGTCTTATTGTCCTAAAGAACATGTATTAAAAATTGCACATCTTGCTACAAAAAAAAAAACCCCAACTTTTCAGACTTCTCAGACACTGAAAAAGGCATGAAAATTTTGGTTGTAAGCCAGTTGGCAAATGACTGTTTAAAGAATTGTATTTTAAAAGGTCAGTTTTGTTCTGAGCTCTAGATGAGTTGTGATTGGGAAAAGATGAAAAAAGCACCATCTAGGCTCACATTCAGGGAAATGTGTATTTTTACACTGGCAGCATGACACCCTTAAAATTAAGTCTTATTGTCCTCAGTGGTACTGGAGTACATACTGAAAACCATGCATGTGTTTAACTGCTTTTCTGAAAGCTATCACCATTTTTTTAAAAAAACAACTCTCTCAATTTTACTTATATTGTAGTGCTCGCTGCCCAGTAATGTTCACTGGCATCTTAGTTTCCATGTAAAAATTCTTTTCTTTAACAGCATTATCCTGTAGCCTGGGTAAATACCATGGTATTTGACTATAAAGGACAGCTGAAGAGTGGAGAACTGGTACTGCACAGCTGGTCATCATTTCCTGGTAAAGTTTTAACTTTTAACATTTGGACTTTAAATACTTACAAGACTAAAGAGGAGTAGTATCAAATAGTAGAATATTTACTGTATGCATGTCCAATTATCCTGTTGTAATCTCTTTACTACTTGTATTTTTTTATGTGGATAAATATATAATGTCTTAATCTCTTCCCTGAAAGTATTGCGTATCGGGAAGAAGGGCAAGAGTCTGCTTGGAAATAGTATTCTAAAAGTTCTATCTGTTATAGAAGGAAAATCACATAAAAATAGATGCACGTTTTTATCTAGTGTTACCTGTGTTTAAGATGCAGTTTAGGTTTCATTTGGTTCCCTGTGCTCTGCATCCTAAACTAAATAGATAAGCTGTATTGTATGTGCCAATTGTTTGCATCAGCAAAAAATGTGAATTAGAATTTTTTTTTTTTTTAAATCTTCCTTCCCCGACATTCAGATTGATTAGTAAGAGTGTCTGAAATCTCCATGTCACTCTTCATTCCATCCTGAGAAACCCTGTATCAGCTTGGCTGTAGTGCTGAAAGAAATCTGGCTTAAAACGATCTTCCTTTTTTTGTACTATTTGATATAGAGGCAGTGTGTATACTGGTGTACAGAAGCTGCTGATCTTACTGGGATTTAGTTCAGTATAGGGATATCTCAGCTTCCCTTGACTGTTATGTTCATTTTGGAAAGAGAAAATGAGTTTCTTAATGGGAGATAATCCAACATTTGTGAATGTAGGAGGTATGGGTAGTTTATGCTGGAAATACAGTGCATTGTCGTAAAAGTGCTGTGCAGCAAAACGTGCTTCTGTCTGTTGTATACAGTAAGCAATTTCTTATTGAGTCTTTGCCTTTCAGATTTTTAATTTTAATGCATAGCTGCCCTGTAATAGTAATTGTTCTGTCTAACGTTTCAGATGAACTTGAAGAAATGTTGAATCCAATGGGAACCGTCCAGACTAACCCTTACACTGAAAATGCAACAGCTCTGCACATTAGATTTCAAGAATATTCAAAACAGCCTATTAATTACCCTCCCTTTGATAAGGTAAGGTATGACATAAAGAGCCATCGTGAGTGCTTATGTGTAAATAGCTATTTCTTCGTTCCGTTGAACACTGCCTTTTCCACTGAATTCCCTACTGCCTGCCTTTCAGTTAACATAACTGCAAACATAGTTGTAGTTAACATGCTAACAAACTTGCACTGTGTGAGTACCAGTGCTCTGACTTCAGGGTCTTCAGGTAGTATTTTAAAGATCTATACTTTTAAAAATACTCTGTACATAGTCTCTTGAGGATCAGAAGCATAACCAGTTTCCAGTATCAATGGTCTTACAAAAAGCTAAACTTACCTGCCATTCTGGAAACCTTCAAACTGTGCTTGCCTGTGATCTATAAAGATCTGTTACTTCTTTGTACAAATGTATGTTACCCACTCTTTGGGACAGTTCTTTCCTCTATGAGCTAAAATCCTTTTAAGGATAAACAGACTCTTAATACTGTATGAAAAGGGATTTCTCATGGTCTGCTCTTGAACTAAATCCAGTTAAGTTGCCCTGCAGTTTTCTACAGATATGGATAAGAATGTCTGTCTAGAAGGGAAGTGTGTACTTGGAATACATGTGTAAGTGTCTGTAGTGTGAACACTAGATAGCGAGTTGTTCACAAACCAGCAAATAAAGCTAAGACCAGGAAAGAAGTAATAAAATGAGTGTTAAAACAGACAGCTAGTGATGCATTGAAAAAAAACAAACAAGGTTTAACTCATCCATACGTTAGCCTGAATTTTGGTTTTGGGAAAGTTAATAACTACTTAGAGAAAATTGCCCCCCCCCCCCTTTTTTTTTGAGGGTTTTGTACCTTTGGGGGGCATGAACAAAAAGACAGAAACCACCAAGCTTTATCAGCTTGATCAAAAGAGGGATTTGGGGTTTAAGGTTCATCAGAAGGAAATCAAATAACAAGATAGATTTTGGGGTTTGTTTTGATTTTGTGTCGTGTGTCTGTGTCCCCGCCCCACCCCGGTGGCGCAGTACTCGTTCTTGTGTTAAAATGGCATTGGAAATGCCTTAAGAGCTAAAATAGTACTGACTAATTGCCTTCTTAATTTTGATTGACCAGTTTACTCTTCATGCCAGACATATTTTAGTCAGTTTTTTTATTGGTTCCTTTGTAACGCTTTAAGTTTTTTTTCTCATTACACTGTATGTATTTAATTTCTAAAGAGAAAATAGAAGGTGCTTTTATGTGCACGTTACAGACATGTTATGTAAACGTATGTTTCTTAAGTAATCGCATATTTGTTCTAGCTGCTTTGTTCCTTTTGTTTGTACCTGCGATACCAAGTTTTCAGTATGTTAAAATGCTGGGGTGAATACAGAGAAAAGATTTTACTGAGTAAGTTATCTGATATTGACATTAAGGTAGTGGCGGCTGGTCTTCACCATCCCTTGTAACTTTTGTTTGATTGCTGGCTTTTTTTATTTTGTGGCTTTGCCCCCTTCTTGAAGTGTACCTGAGAAATCCTGCATATCAGATAGAGGAAAATCCCAGAGCATCTTTACAAAGTGATTGCAGAGCTGGTAATGAAACATTCACTGAAAGCATTTAACTTTGGGGAAATGCTACAAAATGTGCTTTTTTTAGCAGTTCTTATTTTTTTCCCAGTAACTTTTGCTACTTGCAATTCCCTAGAGTTAAGAAACTGTTTTGCAGTATCACTGGGAAAATCAGAGCTCTAAACTTCTTGATAATTAATTCCATTTCTGTGGGGATACTGAAATTTCTCCCTCAGAAAAGAGAGTGAGATACCCAATCTCAGACAGATTCTCCTGGTGAAGGTCCTGTTGAATCAGGAGTAACATTGTAGCTGTTTGAAGTGTATCAGCTGAAAATCTGTTTTTTCAAAAGTATCTAGATGAGACTTGCTTCGTGTGTTTTCCCAGTGTTGTTCCTTGTTTCTGCCAAGAAAATGGAGAATCGGATGCCAATCTTTATTTTAAGAAACATGATGTGCAAAAATAGATGAACCTTTTAGATCATAGCATCAATCTGCTTGCAGTGGACAGCTCTTTGGGCCTGAGTGAGCAAAAGTGCCTTCACAATTGATAAGAAAACAGTTGTCTAACGCAGGAGCCATATACTGGGCTGGTTAATGATCAGTGCTGCTGACACACCGAGGGGCTCATAGTTCAGTTGAACAAAGCTGGGCTTGCAGAAACACAACTAGTTCATTTGCAATCAGAGTAACTCTAAAAAGCACAAGGAGGCAAGCATCAAACATAGAATTAGGACATTGTGGTTTTGTTTATGCATGTTTTCACACGCAATATATAAACAAACTTTATAGGCAAGTAGCGGATGTAATACATCATATTAATAAGCATTTCATACAGAGAAAGAACTAAAACAAGCTAGTATACCTTTTAAAGGATTTTAGCTGCTGGGTATTTATGCTCTGATTATTGTAGTCTTTTGTTGTTTCTTGTATTGCCTGAGTAAAGACACTACAAGTCTTGCTGAATGGTGTTATATTCCTGGGTGATGGGAGAGGCAGACCTCTAAGGGAAAGGAGATGGTGTAGCTCCTTAGACTTCTTTCTTAATTGATATTTCATTTTATGAATTGTTCCTCAAAGCAGCAGCATCTGACAAGTGTAGATATACCTACCTGACCAGTTCAGCTGGTCTAATTAGCTTAGGCAGTCACCACTCTAACACATCTCTGTTGGCTGCATTAGTGTGCAGAATATATTTTGAAGAACTGTATTTACATCTATACTTAACTACCCATTGTGATTTATTACATGAACTTCAAAAACTAAGTAGAATGTTCAAAAGGCCAAAAAAAAAAAAAAAACAACTAAAAGGAGCAAGAGTAGCTTGAAGCTGAGCTTCTGGGGAAATGTTGTTTTGCTGTTAACAAAAGTAGCAGTCCTTGCTCCTGAGGGTTGCTGTATATTAACTGCTGCTGAGAGCTTGTTGGTGGAATATTCACGTAAATGAGTTCTTGTGGGAAGCTGGTTGTTCATGATGTTACACAAGGGAAGATCCTAGCTTTAGAGAAGTAACTGGAAATGCTAATTGAGATCATATGGGCAATCTGAGAGGATGGTGAAAGGACTGTTTGTGGATTCATACTGAAATAGAGGGCTAGAAGTGTGGATCTGTGGGTTGAACAGGTACGACTTACAGAAGCAGTGCCCTTGAAAACAGCAGCAGTAGAGATGAGAAAGCAAAGAATAATTTGGAGTTGAGGAATTGGTTTGCTGTACTGAAAAATAAGGAGGAAATGCAAACAGAAACAGAAAACGACACTGTAGGGAAGACTGTTTAGCCCAAGAGTGGTGAAGAAGCAGCAAATGGAGATAATCATGAGCACTTCTATTCCTGATCTCCATAGTCCTGCAGATTAGAAAAGGAACACAGCATAGAAGTCCATGTGATACTACTGTATATACAAAATAATAGTATTGTAATTATCTAAAAGATTGCAAAATTTCCTTATCTGCTGCATTTCTATAATATTTATTCTTTCAGTGCTGTCAGATTTGTTTTTAAATGTAATGTATTTAAAAACATCTTTTTGCAGATACTTGAAAAGGCAGCTGAGATTGCAAGAAACAGTGACAATGCTGCAATGGCGGTAAGCATCTGCTAAAGACTATTTTAAAACTAATTTTCTGGGATTTTTTGGTTTTTCTCTTTTACGTCAATCTAGAAATAAACAAGTCAGCTACTCAAATAATGACAGTTCTACTGGCTCTGTTTTCTTATGTAATTCGCTTTGGTGAACTGCCTTAAAATTCAGGTATATGTCCACTTTTTCCAATATATTTTGGACTTCTTGGCCATCAAAAAGCACAATTGCTTTACATACTCTATGGATTTCAAACACAGCTAAGATTTACATTAGATCTGGATCTGGAAAACATTCCTAGGCTGCCTGAAATATTGCTGGTAAATAGCTCAGTTTTAGTAAGTATGACGATTTGCTTGATTGTCAGATGTTTCCAAATAAGCTCTCTCAAAAATGGTCATTGATCTATAAGAAGATGGTTCTTTAAATACGATGATTATATGCTCTTCTTGAGGAATTGGCTAGTTCTAACTTGAGGACAAATTTTGAGAAGATCACCAAAATCTGGAGGCTGTTTCTTTGTGTTATATACAAAAATACAGAACACTGCAATTTAAGATGGTGAAAGCACAGTTGGATCAACAATAATAATAACTGCATTTTATATAAGAACAAAGCAGTTAATTGAAAAATCTGTCAGTTACAATACAAAGTGCCTAAAGTGCTCAGGAAAAGTGGAAACTCACTGCTACTTCGGGTGCAAACAACTTGGTGTACAAATAATTGGAAATCTTAAATAGCAGCATGCCGACTTGACCGGATTGTGACTTTTAATTTGAAAGATTAACATTTTCAGATACAAGAATCACGTTATTGTCAAGACTTTACTTGTTTTGATACAGAAACAGAGTATGTACTTAGTTTTACTAAACAAACACTGCAATTCAACTAGCTTTTTAAAGTCTATTCAATCCTAAAGAATTTATGCTTAGGTGGTATTTTTACAAGAAGACATTTACTTAAAACACTTCAGCACAATACAAGGCTCAGGCACTTACCACTTCTAGATGGAGCTAAACTTAAGTTCTGTGTGCAGCAGATGTATTTTTTTTTGTCAGGTGGGAGACCTGTGCAGAATGTTACTTGGTGAGAGCTATTTGTTTCTGCTGTGAATCCTAATTGATTTTGACTACTGTTTCTTCTGAACTTTCCTTTGTTTTTTTATTTTCCATTAACATAAAGACCTTTGGCCTACCTATTAAAATTATGTAGAAACTTCTTCAGCTTTGTGAAGATAAAGTTGACTTCGGTATTTAAAGCTTGCCATATTGTTTTTCAAAATAGGTATTGAAACTAATTTATTCTCTTCAGCTACTGCCTCCTTACCCAGAAGCAGGAGTTTCTTTTGTCTCCCATTGATTTACGGAATGCTATGGTTGCTGGTATCATTGCTTTAATTTCTGCCCTTGCAGCTGGCATAAGGGCATGGCTGGGGACAGAAGGTTTTAACTGAGCCAGTGTGAAGACTCATTCATACAAACTGATTTACCGAATCAGTACTAATGTTAATGTTTCAGAGAGATAAAATGGAGCAAAATGTCTAGAAAAAGACAAGTCTGGATTAGAAGACCAAAAAAAGTGTTTGTATACTTAGCAAATGTACTTTCCTTCAGTTACTGTTGGAAAAGTATTTTTTGACTTTTAAAAAAAAAAAAATCATACGTATATCTATTAAATTTGCTCACTTGCAAAACAAAAGGAGAAAGTATATGCTTCCTAAACAAAAGTTCTCCATGTTAGAGTTGGAAAATAGAAATATTGCCATCTAGTGTCATTAACTCTAAAGTTTAGTTACTTTTTCAGAAACTTCTGTACATTGAATTTTGAATCTATTAGTTACAGTTCTTATAGCTTAAGAAATCTGAAAGAAAGGCATAGTAGTCACTCCCCTGTGTTTCATGAGTTTTATCTGATGTTCTTCCTGGTGTAGGATTTCTGGTATTTGAGCTGAAATACAAGAATCTTACTGAATATATCAAAACATTATACGTTTCTCATTTTCTAGGGTCGAGGTGGTAAGAAGTTTTATATTGTGCTAAAAGAAATAATGGAAAGAGATCCTTTATCTCAACTCTGTGAAAATGAAATGGATCTTATTTGGACTTTGCGATATGACTGTCGTGAAAATTTCCCACAATCATTGCCAAAACTGCTGCTCTCTTTAAAATGGAACAAACTTGAAGATGTTGCTCAGGTAAGGGAAAAGACGATGATGGTGGGGAAAAATGCTGGAGTCAAATCACGAGAAATGGTACTATTGTATAAACCAAAGTGCATTGTATACCTTCTGTGGCCTGGACACATAAGCAAGAACTTACTATCTTACAAAAAACAAACCCCAAATGCATTTCAGAGGTCCTCTGCATGATGAGAAGAGCACAGTAATTATTTATGCAGGCTAATTTTAGAATCTTGTGCTCAACTTTGATCCTAAATGCAAGGAATTTCACAGAATCACAGAATTGTTTAGGTTGGAAGAGACCTCTTGAGATCATCTAGTCCAACCCCTGTGCTCAAGCACGGTCAGTTAGAGCAGGACTGTGTCCAGCTGAGTTTTGAGTATCTCCACTGATGGAGACTCCATAATCTCTGGGCAATGTGTTCCAGTGTTTGACCACCCTCACAGTAAGAACTTTTTATAAGGTGTTTTGTTTTTGTTTTTGTTTTGTTTTTGTTTTTTAAAAAAGAAGTATTAAGTTTGTAAATCAAGATCTGAAATACAGCCTCTATGCTTCTTATATAAAAAATTGTTAAACTGCTCAAAGACTACAAAAATCCACATCTCAGACTGGGTAATTAAACCTCACTGAGGCAGACAGGTGATTTTTTCAAAGAGGTATGATACCTGCTAGTGGTACAAAGTACTTCATTCTCATCATCTTGACTGACTGACCAACTAGGGTCTCCTTTAAAGTAACCGTAAGTAATTAAGGACTTTGAAGGCTGGTGCTGTGATACAAGATTACATTTTCAGTCAAATTGTATCATTTGTTTGCTGTATAGATGTGCAAGATTATTTCACTATACTGTAAAGAAGTTGGTGTATCTGCCTTTTTCTGTATTTACCCAAATAGAATCCAACTCCTGTGATGCTTTTTGGGAATAGGGGGAACCTTGATATAGGAAAAATTATATGAGTTTATAGTG